TCCCGCAAACCGAAAACGGCCAGTTCCTTCATCAACGTGTCAGGGTAGGAGGCCTATCAACCTCCGATCCAGAAAAACTTCCGCCTCGTCACCCCACGCCCTCCTACGTCCAATTTTGACACCCAAAATCGGTACCGAAAGAATGGGTACAATGCCCAACAACAAATGTTGTCCCAAGCCAACAGCGGCCGCTGTTGGGCAGGCGGCCTTCTGCCTCGAGTGGGCACAGGCCGCGGCAGCGCGGACAGCGAACCCTGTTCAAAATGAGCAAGCACTGCTGTTGAGCATTGCACCCTTTTCGGCGGCGAGCGAGGGGGGGGAAGCGAGGAGGAGAAGGCCTTCCCAGAAGGCTCGGAAGTCCCCCGGCCTTCTGAGAAGTTTTCTGAGCCTTCCCCGAAGACACGGAAAACTTCTCAGAAGGCGCGAGGGCTTCTGAGAAGTCCTGCCGCCTTCTGAGAGGGCCTTCTCCTTCTCACTTCCCCCCCTCGCTCGCCGCCGACCTTTCTTTCCGTGCCCGTTGCGCTCGTGCTGATCATACGTCCAGAGGCCTCCTCGACGCGCCCCTTCCCCCGCGGCGGCGGCGCCGCCGCGGAGGGGGGGGGGGCGCGGGCGGCCTCCCCGGAGGGGGGCCCCGCCCGCACTCGGGGGGGCTCCGGGGGGAGCTCCTCGGAGGACCTGCGGACCTCTGGGGGGCCGCACGGATGTGCAGTCGGACCGCGAGGGGAGGAGGAGGAGGATGACGACGAGGATGAGAAGGAGGAGGAGGAGGAGGAGGAGGAGGAGGAGGGAGGAGGAGGAGGAGGAGGAAGGAGGAGGGAGGAGGAGGAGGAGGAAGGAGGAGGAGGGAGGAGGAGGAGCCCCCTCGAGCCATGACTGCGATCCCCCGAAGGGTGGAGCTCGGGACCGCACGGATTGGACAGGACACGCGAGAGGACACAGGACCCTTCCGAGGGCCACACTGCCGCAGGAATGCAAGGAGGCACGTGTCGCGAGGCGCACGACACAGGGGCGCCCTCGAGCTGGCAGGGTCGACCTCTCAATCCGGGCCGACCGTATTGGTCGACCCCCCCCCGCGCCAGACTCAGTGGGTACCCACCGCAGACTCACATTAGACCTCGCCATCCCTGGGGGGCTGCGATCTGTGAAACTGTCGCCACTTTCGAGGGCTGCTGAGGGGCACAGCACAGTGGGTACCCACCGCAGACTCACACTAGACCTCGCCATCCCTGGGGTGGGCTGCGATCTGTGAAACTGTCGCCACTTTCGAGGGCTGCTGAGGGGCACAGCACAGTGGGTACCCACCGCAGACTCAAATTAGACCTCGCCGTCCCTGGGGGGCTGCGATCTGTGAAACTGTCGCCGCTTTCGAGGGCTGCTCAGGGGCACAGCACAGTGGGTACCCACCGCAGACTCACACTAGACCTCGCCATCCCTGGGGGGCTGCGATCTGTGAAACTGTCGCCACTTTCGAGGGCTGCTGAGGGGCACAGCACAGTGGGTACTCACCGCAGACTCAAATTAGACCTCGCCATCCCTGTGGGGCTGCGATCTGTGAAGCTGTCGCCACTTTCGAGGGCTGCTGAGGGGCCCAGCACAGTGGGTACTCACCGCAGACTCAGATTAGACCTCGCCATCCTTGGGGGGCTGCGATCCATCCCTGGGGGGCTGCGATCTGTGAAACCGTCGCCACTTTCGAGGCCTGCTGAGGCCAGACACAGTGGGGTACCCACCGCGACTCAACATTAGACCTCAGCCGTCCCCTGGGGGGCTGCGATCTGTGAAACTGTCGCCGCTTATCCGAGGGCTGCTCAGGGCACAAGCAAATAGGACCACAACCCGCACAGACGTCCACAGTATGGAACCGTCTGCCATCCATGGGGGGCTGCGATCTGTGAAACTGTCGCCACTTTCGAGGGCTGCTGAGGGGCACAGCACAGTGGGTACCCACCGCAGACTCACACTAGACCTCGCCATCCCTGGGGGGCTGCGCTCTGTGAAACTGTCGCCACTTTCGAGGGCTGCTGAGGGGCACAGCACCGTGGGTACCCACCGCTGACTCAAATTAGACCTCGCCATCCCTGGGGGGCTGCGATCTGTGAAACTGTCGCCACTTTCGAGGGTTGCTGAGAGGCACAGCACAGTGGGTACTCACTGCAGACTCAGACTAGACCTCGCCATCCCTGGGGGGCTGCGCTCTGTGAAACTGTCGCCACTTCCGAGGGCTGCTGAGGGGCACAGCACAGTGGGTACCCACCGCAGACTCCAATTAGACCTCGCCATCCCTGGGGGGCTGCGATCTGTGAAACTGTCGCCACTTTCGGGGCTTTGCTGAGGGGCACAGGCACAGTGGTACCCACGCGCAGACTCAAATTAGACCTCGCCATCCCTGGGGGCTGGCGCTCTGTGAAACTGTCGCCACTTTTCGGATGGCTGCTGAGGGGCAACTGCACAGTGTGGTACCCACTCGCAGACCTCATTAGACCTCGCCGTCCCTGGGGGCCATGTGATCTGTTGAAACGGACTGTCGCCACTTATCGGGAGCTGCTCATGGCACAGCACGTGGAGATACCCACCGCAGACTCAAATTAGACTCGCCATCCCTTGGGGTGCTGCGCCCTGTCACACTGTCGGCCACTTTCACGGCTGCTGAGGGGCACACACAGTGGGTACCCACGCAGACTCAATTAGACCTCGCCATCCCTGGGGGGCTGCGATCTGTGAAACTGTCGCCACTTTCGACGGCTGCTGAGGGGCACAGCACAGTGGGTACCCACCGCAGACTCAAACTAGACCTCGCCATCCCTGGGGGGCTGCGATCTGTGAAACTGTCGCCACTTTCGAAGGCTGCTGAGGGGCACAACACATTGGGTACCCACCGCAGACTCAAATTAGACCTCGCCATCCCTGGGGGGGCTGCGATCTGTGAAGCTGTCGCCACTTTCGAAGGCTGCTGAGGGGCACAGCACAGTGGGTACCCACCGCAGACTCAAACAAGACCTCGCCATCCCTGGGGGGCTGCGATCTGTGAAACTGTCGCCACTTTCGAGGGCTGCTGATGGGGCACAGCACAGTGGGTACCCAACGCAGACTCAAATTAGACCTCGCCATCCCTGGGGGCTGCGATCTGTGAAACTGTCGCCACTTTCGAGGGCTGCTGAGGGGCACAGCACAGTGGGTACCCACCGCAGACTCAAATTAGACCTCGCCATCCCTGGGGGGCTGCGATCTGTGAAACTGTCGCCACTTTCGAGGGCTGCTCACGGGCACAGCACAGTGGGTACCCCACCGCAGACTCAAACTAAACCTCCCCATCCCTGGGGGGCTGCGATCTGTGAAACTGTCGCCACTTTCGAGGGCTGCTGAGGGGCACAGCACAATGGGTACCCACCGCAGACTCAAATTAGACCTCGCCATCCCTGGGGGGCTGCGACCTGTGAAACTGTCGCCACTTTCGATGGCTGCTGAGGGGCACAGCACAATGGGTACTCACTGCAGACTCAGACTAGACCTCGCCATCCCTGGGGGGCTGCGATCTGTGAAACTGTCGCCACTTTCGAGGGCTGCTCAGGGGCACAGCACAGTGGGTACCCACCGCAGACTCAAATTAGACCTCGCCATCCCTGGGGGGCTGCGATCTGTGAAACTGTCGCCACTTTCGAGGGCCGCTGAAGGGCACAGCACAGTGGGTACCCACCACAGACTCAAATTAGACGCCGTTTTCGTCCTTGTTCTCCTCCTGCAGCCACCTTCCCTCTGCTGCTGCCGTGCTGATGGTTCGGCTTCCCGTACGTTTTTTCTCCTGCTCTGCGTTCCCGACTCCCCATGTCCTCTTCGAGCCTGTAGCTGTCGCCCCTCGTTCTTGTATGGTTTTCCTGCGCATCATGCGATAGACACGTGTCCCAAGTAGCTTACACACTAAATTGATTGTCCATGCAAGTTTCGGCGAACTCCTCGTTTCCATTGATACAAATGGGTTGGGTACGTCACAGGGTAATTCGATTATTTTTGGACTATGTTTGGGGCTTGTTATTTTTCGTCGAGAATCCCCCCTGTAGGGGGACAGGCCCGACTTAACACTAGAGGCCTCCTCCGTGGGGTCGGAGGATCGCGCCGCATCGGCGATGCATCGGCGACGTCGGCGAGGCGTCGGCGCCATCGGCGTGGAGAAGATCGGGCCCTTTGTATATCGAGCCGCATCGCCGATGCATCGGCGATGCGGCGCGATCCTCCGACCCCATCTACTCCGACCCCATCTAGGAGGCCTAGCATTAGGTCGGGCGTGACCCCCTACAGGCGGATGTTTGACGAAAATGAAAGAATACCCCAAAAATGCACAAAACATATCGAAGCATTGTCACAAAATCGTCCCCAGCCTATTTTTATTTATTTGTGTTTGAACATTTCCCCCTGTAGAGGGACAGGCCCGACTTAAGCCTAGCATCACCTGGCTCAACATCCTCGGGGATCTTCTGACCCGGGTCAATCCAGACCCGGGTCAGCAGAAAACCAAACACTGCAATGCAGGACAACAAAAAAACTGCAACGCGGGTCCTCGCAAACCCGGGTCAGCCAATGTGCGCGGCCGCCTCGCGGCCAGGAGCGGCTCGCTAACCCCGGTCAGCCAGAGGGCGTCGTCGCAGGATCCTGCAGGCCCCCGTTTGCATTGACCCCCGTTTGCATTGACCCCCGTCTCTTTCGGGAGCGGCCAAGAGGGTGGTGTCCAAGAGGGGGGGGTGCAAATCATGACCGGCGGCATGTGCGCGGCCCAGCGGGGGGGGCAAGGGACGTAATGAAATACGAAGAGGCGCCATGCAATCTGGGGAAATGTCATGGCCCCCGCCATGATATCCCCCCCCCCCTAGTCATCACCCCCTTCTTTTCCGCCCCCGACTCTTGAGCCCCGACATCCCTCTGGCAACAGAGTGCCGGGCTCGGAGGAGGCACGGTACCGGCACGGGCGCTCTCGCTGCGGCCGTGGCCGCCCGGGGGGGGCAGGCCGCGTCCTTCTCGCGCTGCTTCTGCCCCAGGGTCTCGATCTTGAAGGGCAGGTTCTGCTGCGCCCTCTCGACCTCGGCCTTGCGCTGCCTCGGGAGCGCACACGGGCGGCGGAAGGAAGATGCCTGCAGAGGAGGACGGGTTGGGCGAAGAGTCCAGAGCATGCGAGACTGCAAAACAAAATGGCATGCTCGGTGGCAACTCATGGGAGCCTCCCATACCATCTTGTCGGCTCTTGCGAATCGACGATAGTCGACGCTAGATCGACGCTGATCGACGCTGAATCGACGCTAATCGACGCTAACTGACGCTAAATCGGCGCTATCTCATCGACTCCCAGACGCCAATCGGCATTAGATGTAGAATTACGAGGGTACACAAGGCCCCCATGATGCGCTACCGAAGCATTGGAGGCTTCTGGGGACGTTGTCGACGTTCTTGACACTGAATGGGCGAAGGCCCTGAAATTTGCCGACCCCTTTGGGCTCCTCGGCGCATGAGATCTGGCCGATTTGGATGAAGGGGCCCTGGGACACACAAATAAATACACACAAATCAATGGATTCCACACATTTTGCCATATGTTCAGGGCGTTTGTCTTCCCCACCACTTCCGATATTTTCCCATATTTTCTGGGGAGTCGACGGTTAAGTGTGTCTGTGTGTTTCTTCCCCTCATGATCGGAGGGGGGAGGTTGGGAAATGTGCTGGCGGACTCATCTTGCTCAGAAAAGCTCCCCCGCGCGCCACAATTTTCCCAGAGGGAGGACCCTCAGACGGTCCCAAGACGGCATCAACCAAGGCCGCACTTTCGGCGATGTTGGCTAACGCCGATGCTGGGAAGCCGACTTTTGTGACGCCGAGCTCGCGCAGAACGAACTGTAGGAAACCACGAAACACCGCTTCCTACTTTTCAAAGATGCGGATGTATCAAACGAACACGACACAGCGAGTTGTAGGAAAACACGAACCACGCGTTCCTACAACTGTTTTGGCCACGGACCAGTCCCACCTACAACGCCGAAGCCTACATCGCCGCTGCCTACATTGCCGTTAGCGCGTCTACGGCTCAAGACGGCCCAGGGTGGCCTCAAGATGGCCCAGAGACGGCCAACACTGGGCGGAGGCCAGCTGGAGCTGTTTTGAAGCGTTCTTGGACCATCGCTGGGCTCTCGTCAGCGTCTCTGAAGCCATCTTGGGCCAACTTGAGGACCCCTTGGAGCACCCTGGAGACCTCGGGGACCGCCGTCTTTTGTTTCTTTGTTTTCATCCGCGGTCAACGCGAGAAGGAATCTGATAATACGGCAGCATGGAGGCGCGCGTGCACACAGCAACGACTGTCAACTCATCGAGCCCGCATAGCCGTAATGCAACTGCGCTCTGACCAGTGTTGGTAAATTCCAGCCGAGCAGCGACAATCGGCTCATTGAGGCCCGATCGCTGCGGAGCAGCCTAGTCCTCGGCCTAAGCATGAAACGTTCATCTGCCACACGATGAAACAGACAACCCAGTAAATCAGGATGATACAGTCTGGGATCACGGTTCCTTATCGCCAACACCCAGTCGTCTGTCGCCTCACGCAATGCCTGCCTTATCACAGCTCAGCAAGCCAATGAAACCACCGTCCGCACAATGGCCTCACGGAGATATAGATGTAGAGGCAGCGCGAGGAGGAGGAGGAGGAGGACGAGGAGGAGGAGGAGGAGGAAGAGGAGGTAAAGGGGGACGAGGAGGAGGAGGAGGAGCAGGAGGGGAAAGATGACAAGGCCCATCAGGCAGGGCACCCGCCCCCGCTCCAAAAAAACGTGATGCCACTGCGGGCCCGTCGCTGGGCCGGCCTGGTGTCTCAGAAGCTTCCACTCTCCTCCCCTTTGAGTGTAAATGCTCCATGATCTCTCGCCAACGATTGAAGGCAAACTCAAAAGGGAATGGACAGGAACGCAGCACAATGCTCACGGCTCCGCACAGTCGGAGCTGGAGTCAGAAACTTGGACGCCGGAGGCAGAGAGACGGGAGCGGCAATCGGAAAAAGAGGCGCCGCAAGCTCACACCAAGCCAGGCGATTATGGACAGACTCGTTCAGTGGAGGCGTGCGCTACCTGTGGAGGAGCAAAGGCGGAGCAGGAACTCACGGGAGGCCACGCTCGACGGCGAGCGCCCTCACAGCGCAGCCTTCGTCGAGGCCGCTCCGACGCGGGCCAGCCCCAGCGGGGAGACGGCCTCGGAGAGCTGACCCTGACGGGGGGAAACCTCGGCGGCGACGACAGGGGCGAATAAATAGCCCAGTGGAGGGCATCACGCGCATTCGCCCAGGGGCCTTTCCGAAGGCACAGATCAAGGGCGCACCTGAATACATGTATTGCTCCCCCCTGGGCTATTCGCCCCCCTCGTCGCCTCCGAAAGCCTCGGAGCTGAGCTGCGACTGGTCGTCGTCGTCGTCGGCCAGCCCAGTCCTCTTCGCAGGCGCGCCGGCCCTGCCCAGATTCTTGGTCTGCTTGCGCTGATGGCGGCGGCGCTGCGTCCTCGTCAAAAGATCCACTGGCTCCCCCGATGCAAGTCGATCCGTGGCGGTCGACGGCTGGCCGCAGCTGCTCGTGGCGTCCGCTTGGGTCACCTCCTTCTCCACGGTCGTCGAACACTTGGTAAAGATGCTGGAAAAAGTGGGTTCGGAACTGGACCTCTGAGGCAGAACGACGGACTCCATCCATGGAGACCTGCAGTCCAAGAAAGTATTCTTGGCGGTCATCAAGCGGCCCACCGCATTGGACATGGCTTGCAAAACGGCCGGGGTCACTCCGCAGCCCAGATGGCCCAGGCTGCAAACTGCCCTAAGCTGTGAAATGCTGAAACGAATTACTTGAGCCAAAATGGCTACGGTTCTCGGGGACCGCCGTCTTTGAGCATCATGTGATGACCGTTATGAATTCAGCCTCTGGCAAGTGAGCTTTTTCCCCACATGTTTCGTGGGGTTCTGGTTTTCTTCCCTGCCGCGCCGCACCCGCGTCTCACACCTCCCCCCTCCCCTTCTCCTTCTCGCACAGCACAGCACAGCACAGCACGGCACGGCACGGCACGGCACAGCACAGCTCACCGCACAGCAGCACAGCACAGCACAGCACAGCACAGCACAGCACAGCATACCACACAGGGCATTCCTTCGACGCCACAGGGGGTGGGGGTGCGCAGAGGGTGGTCCCTCAGCGCGGCCTCTATCCGTGACACGCTCGCAGATCGTGGCAGGCGTGGCACTTTCTCGACACCACAGGGGGTGCGCAGAGGGTGGTCCCTCAGCGCTGCCTCTATCCGTGACACGCTCGCAGATCGTGGCAGGAGTGGCATTTTCTCGAAGCCGCAGGGGGTGCGCAGAGGGTGGTCCCTCAGCGCGGCCTCTATCCGTGACACGCTCGCAGATCGTGGCAGGAGTGGCACTGTCTCGACACCACAGGGGGTGCGCAGAGGGTGGTCCCTCAGCGCGGTGACACGCTCGCAGATCGTGGCAGGAGTGGCACTTTCTCGACGCCACAGGGGGTGCGCAGAGGGTGGTCCCTCAGCGCGGCCTCTATCCGTGACACGCTCGCATATCGTGGCAGGAGTGGCACTTTCTCGACACCACAGGGGGTGCGCAGAGGGTGGTCCCTCAGCGCGGCCTCTATCCGTGACACGCTCGCAGATCGTGGCAGGAGTGGCACTTTCTCGACACCACAGGGGGTGCGCAGAGGGTGGTCCCTCAGCGCGGCCTCTATCCGTGACACGCTCGCAGATCGTGGCAGGAGTGGCACTTTCTCGACACCACAGGGGGTGCGCAGAGGGTGGTCCCTCAGCGCGGCCTCTATCCGTGACACGCTCGCAGATCGTGGCAGGAGTGGCACTTTCTCGACACCACAGGGGGTGCGCAGAGGGTGGTCCCTCAGCGCGGCCTCTATCCGTGACACGCTCGCAGATCGTGGCAGGAGTGGCACTTTCTCGACACCACAGGGGTGCGCAGAGGGTGGTCCCTCAGCGCGGCCTCTATCCGTGACACGCTCGCAGATCGTGGCAGGAGTGGCACTTTCTCGACACCACAGGGGTGCGCAGAGGGTGGTCCCTCAGCGCGGCCTCTATCCGTGACACGCTCGCAGATCGTGGCAGGAGTGGCACTGTCTCGACACCACAGGGGGTGCGCAGGGGTTGGTGGTCCCTCAGCGCGGCATGTATCCGTGACACGCTCGCAAATCGTGGCATGAGTGGCACTTGCTCGAAACCACAGGGGGTGCGCAGAGGGTGGTCCCTCAGCGCGGCATCTATCCGTGACACGCTCGCAGATCTTGGCAGGAGGGGCACTTTCTCGACACCACAGGGGGTGCGCAGAGGGTGGTCCCTCAGCGCGGCCTCTATCCGTGACACGCTCGCAGATCGTGGCAAGAGTGGCACTGTCTCGACACCACAGGAGGTGCGCAGAGGGTGGTCCCTCAGCGCGGCCGCTATGCACGACGGTCGTCCAGGGCATAGCAGGCGTGGCACTTTCTCGACACCACAGAGGCTGCGCAGGGGGTGGTCCCTCACCGCGGCCGCTATGCACGACGGTCGTCCAGGGCATAGCAGGCGCGGCATTTTCTCGACACCACTGGGGGTGCGCAGGGGGTGGTCCCTCACCGCGGCCGCTGGCTGGCTCGAATCTGTCCTCGACGGAGGATAGAAGGCTAGGAAGAGGGAGGAGGTTCAAGCAATGTGGCGTTGGATGACACATAGGGGAACATTCGCGACGAGGGCTGAGAACGCAGAATTGCACATATATATAAACTTAAGCAAAACAATGTTTAAGTTAAGTATGTGGGGTTCCTCGGTAGCGTAATTTTCGTTCGGCGCTTCGATATTGGGCGGAAGGGGGGGGGAGAAGGGGGGGGGTCTGGCTCCGGACCTCTGCTTAGTGCGACTGTTTGCAGCATTGCGGCCAAGAAGGGAGGGACCCACCTGCTCGAAGCGGGCGCCCCAAACGGCCAATATCTACTCCACAACGCCGATCGGCGAAACAATGAATCAAAAAACGCCCACCAAGACTCCCGGCAGACTCCCGGCAAGGTCCCTTGTCGGAGCCCAGGAGGGCTCCAAATCGGTCCAAGAGAGGCCCGAGAAGCCCTCCAGACGGTCCAAGAGAGCCGGAAGACGCCGAAATATCACTCCCAAACGCCTGCGATGGCCTCAAGACGGCCCAACAGGCCTTCAAGACGCCCCAAGAGGTCCCTAAGCGGCGCCCCAAGAGGGCTCCCACAAGCAAAAATCGTCCCATTCCCGTGGGAAAAACGTACATTCTTAACATATCCGCCTCTTTGTCTTTCATCACCTTTCAAGGCGGTCCAAGAGGCCCCCAAGATCACCCCAAGACGGCCCGAGAGACCCTCAAGACCGCTCAAAGACGGCCCAAGAGCGCTCCAAGAAGGCCCAAGAAACCTCAAGAACTCTTTTTCGGAGCCCAGGAGGGCTCCAAATCGGTCCAAGAGGGGCCGAGAAGCCCTCCAGACGGTCCAAGAGAGCGGGAGACGCCGGAATATCACTCCCAAACGCCTACGGTGGCCTCAAGACGGCCCAACAGGCCTTCAAGACGCCCCAAGAGGTCCCTAAGAGGTCCTAAGCGGCGTCCCAAGAGGGCTCCCACTAGCAAAAGTCGTCCCATTCCCTTAGGAAAACGTGCATGTTTAACATATCCGCCTCTTCGTCTTTCACACCTTTCAAGGCGGTCCAAGAGGCCCCCAAGATCACCCCAAGACGGCCCGAGACACCCTCTAGACAGCTCAAAGACGGCCCACGAGCGCTCCAAGAAGGCCCAATAAACCCTCAAGAACTCTTTTTCGGAGCCCAGGAGGGCTCCAAATCGGTCCAAGAGGGGCCCGAGAAGCCCTCCAGACGGTCAAAGAGAGCCGGGAGACGCCGAAATACCATCCCCAAGCGCCTACGATGGCCTCAAGACGGCCCAACAGGCCTTCAAGACGCCCCAAGAGGTCCCTAAGCGGCGTCCCAAGAGGGCTCCCACAAAGCAAAAATCGTCTCATTCCCTTGGGAAAACGTGCATTTTTAACATATCCGCCTCTTCGTCTTTCATACCTTTCAAGGCGGTCCAAGAGGCCCCCAAGATCACCCCAAGACGGCCCGAGAGACCCTCAAGACCGCTCAAAGACGGCCCAAGAGCGCTCCAAGAAGGCCCAAGAAACCCTCAAGAACTCTTTTTCGGAGCCCAGGAGGGCTCCAAATCGGTCCAAGAGGGGCCCGAGAAGCTTTCCAGACGGTCCAAAAGAGCCGGGAGACGCCGGAATATCACTCCCAAGCGCCTACGATGGCCTCAAGACGGCCCAACAGGCCTTCAAGACGCCCCAAGAGGTCCCTAAGAGGTCCCTAAGCGGCGTCCCAAGAGGGCTCCCACTAGCAAAATCGTCCCATTCCCTTGGGAAAACGTGCATTTCTTAACATATCCGCCTCTTCGTCTTTCACACCTTTCAAGGCGGTCCAAGAGGCCCCCACGATCATCCCAAGACGGCCCGAGAGACCCTCTAGACAGCTCAAAGACGGCCCAAGAGCGCTGCAAGAAGGCCCAAAAACCCTCAGAACTCTTTTTCGGAGCCCAGGAGGGCTCCAAATCGGTCCAAGAGGAGCCCGAGAAGCCCTCCAGACGGTCCAAGAGAGCCGGAAGACGCCGACATACCATCCCCAAGCGCCTACGATGGCCTCAAGACGGCCCAACAGGCCTTCAAGACGCCCCAAGAGGTCCCTAAGCGGCGTCCCAAGAGGGCTCCCACAAGCAAAAATCGTCCCATTCCCTTGGGAAAACGTGCATTTTAACATATCCGCCTCTTCGTCTTTCACACCTTTCAAGGCGGTCCAAGAGGCCCCCAAGATCACCCCAAGACGGCCCGAGAGACCCTCAAGACCGCTCAAAGACGGCCCAAGAGCGCTCCAAGAAGGCCCAAGAAACCCTCAAGACGGTCCAAGAGGCCCCAAGACGGCCCCATGATTGAGGTCCACAGGGGCAACCTGAACGGAAATTTTGAGCCTCCCGCCCAAACACGCCCCCGAAATGCCCCTACAAGCCCCCAAGTAGCCCCACGAAGCCCCCAAGAGAGCCCCAAGAGGCCCCCAACAGGCCGCAAGAAAGCCCCAAGAGGCCCCCAAGAGACCCCCAGGAAGCTCCCAGGAGGCCCCCAAGAGGCCAGGCAGACCCCCCCAAGAGACCACCAAGAGGGCCCACCCAGAGCCATCCACGAGGCCTCCCAAAGTTCCCAAGAAGCTCCCACGAAGCTTCCAAGGGCTCCCAAGACCCCACGAGGCCTCCAAGAGCTCCCAAGAAGCTTCCCAGAAGCCTCCAAGGGCTCCCAAGAGGCTCACAAGTACTCCTCCTGAGAAGCTCCTTAATGCTCCCAGAAGAGACTCCCAGAAGCATCCATGAGCTCTCCGAGATGCCCCCTGCTCAGATCCCCAACACTCAGTTTTTCTCGCGTCCCTCACCCTTGGATCCTTCACTGCGTTTTCCCCCAATTCAAGTATGTTGTGGTGCATCATCACATGCGTGGTGCGCGAGCGCCCGTGACGGATGGGTAGCGCGTCCGCGGCGGCGCGGGTCGGGTCCGGCGGGCGGGACAATTCGCCGGCCCAACGGGCCAGAGGCGTGCTAAGATCTCCGGTAACTACTTAACAATATTTCTAATTCGCGCGCGCGCGGGGCGGCCCCTGGGGGCCCCGGACGAAAAGTTCCCCGGCCGATCCCCGGCCCGGTCTCGGGCGATCTCCAGGGGGGAAGCTATTTTTCGCCGCCCCTCACGAGGATCGTGGCCTCCGAGGGGGTGGCTGCAATCGACTACCACCCCTCCCGCCCCAAGGGGCCCCCAAGAGCCCCTAAGAGGCCCCAGGGGAGCCCAAGACGCCGCCAAGGAGCCCCAAGACGCTCCCAAGAAGCCCCCAAGAGGCCCCCTAAGACGGCCCCAAGAGACTCCAAATAGCGCTCCAGGGCCGGCGGAATGAGCGAAGCGATTAAATAAAAAAACGCCCACCAAAACAGGTGCGTACACAGTTCAGCGCAGGAGGGATCGCAGCAGCGCTTCCCCAACCTCCGCGGCCATTTGCCTCGGAGGCCCGGCAGAGGGCTGTGCTGGCAGCACGCTGCGAGCTGTGCAACACAGCGTTCGGGGATGGACAGAACCCCCTTTAGCAAAACGTTGTTTAGTGAAAACGACGTCGGGCCCAAATCTGGTGGGCGAAAGCCTGGAAACTGACGGCCACGGCGCCCTCTCGAGAACCGAAAACGGACAATTCACTAATCGACGTGTCACTATTGGGGGTTCTGTCCAGCCCCGAAGCGTTGAATACAGGCAAGAAGTCACTGAGCCCACCAGCCGCCCAGGGCAGCGCGAGGACGCGGGGGGCGGCCGTGCCTCAGCGTGGCGAGCGTCGCCTGCTTCTCGTCGTCCTGGCGAGCCCACGCGCGGCGGGCCCCCTACGAGGTGGCAGCAGCGAGAGCGGCAACAGCCATGCGAGCGACGACGATTCAAAAATGGGTCTTGAGCGAGATGGCATACACCCTGCGAAATGCTTAAGAAGTCATGGGTTCAGAAATTCATAGTCTCAGAATTTGAATACAAAACAACATTTCTATCAAAATCTTAAGATTTACATTGAAACGTTAAGAATAATCGAGAATCTGGCCGAAAACTTAAGTTTTCTTATCGCCTAAGGTGTAGCGACCTCACGTGGTGGCTTACGCGCGCCGCCAGCGCGGCGCGCTCCGCCGGAAGCGAGGGTGCTTACCCGCGACCTTCCGCGGGCAGCCTACGCGTGTTCGCTCTTCGATGCGCTCGCGTGCCACGCGGCATGTACAGACTCCCAAGCCCTCGGCGAGCGAGCGGGGGAGCGGCGCGAGCTTCGCAGAGCGTGAAGAGGCCCCGGGCGAGAGCATGGCTCCTGTCTAGCTTGTGAGGATGTCTCGAGCGAGGGTGCAGTTCCTGAACGTTGAGGCCGCAGCGCCCGAATTAATCGAGAGGACGTCACAGGCGAAAGCGCGAATCCGAAGTAGCCTGCCAGAATGTCTCGGGTGAAGGCTTGGCTCAAGTCGGGCCCGTCCCTCTACAGGGGGAATATCAAACTACTGTCAACTGGGGACGATTGTTTGACAATGTTTGAGCAATTTGGGTATAGATGTTTGACCATGTTTTATCTTTCGTCCAAAATCCGCCGGTATGGGGACATGCCCGACCTGAAGCTTGGCTCCTGTACGAATGTCAAGAACAGTCAGGCAGGAGCCTTTTGTGGTGGTGGCCTGGGGGCCAGCGGTGCATCCTGAGCTCGAAAGCCCTCCCCGCTGCGGCGCGGGCCCCAGGAGCGGGGCAATGCGATTGCAAAAACAGTACGCGCCAGACGGGGGGGGGCTCCACAGTGCAGAACTACACTTGGGGCGTTGACCCAAGGAACCTTAGATGAGGAACCAGGCTCCTGTTTTCACAAGTATAACTTCGATGCCCCATGGAAGCCTCGGGGAAACCGGAGGCAAACTGTAGACAATCTAGGAGCACCGAGCCCCTCCCTAAGGAAAAGGTTCCTTCTTCAGCGCCCCGACTGTATTCTTCAGAAGTGAGAACTCAAAGACTGCTCCTCCCGCGGCCGCCGCCGTCAGGCGGACGTGCAGTCACCAGACCGATCAGGCCAGACCCACAGGGCGGCACGGCGGGCCTGGATGCTCGCGGGAAGCGCGTGAAAAGCCAGCAGGCGATCAACGTTCTGCCCATGCCACTGCCCATCCCCCAACCCCACGAGAGGCCAGAGTGGGGGCATGGGCAAGGTTTTCCATCCATGCCCTACCCCTTGGCGTCCGGAGCTGGAGGCAACACCAGGGGCATGTATAGCGCCGATCGCCGAGCCACGGTCCCCGAGAGAGTCCGTAGTTTACCCACCAGGGTTGCGGGTGGGTCGGGTCAGGTCGGTCCGGCACCCGTTGAGACAAAGTGCTGGGCTGGCCTTCCCCCACATCGTGACCTCCCCGTGGCAGCGGCGCTGGAAGTTCGATCAATGTCACGCGCCGAGAGGGACCAGCGACTCCCAGGTGGCGCGGAAACCTGGGGGCACGATGTGCCAGGATCGCCGATTGCAACCTCCGAGCTCAGGCGGCCCGGACGATGTACCTCCCCCTCCTCCTCCTCCTCCTCCTCCTCCTCCTCCTCCTCCTCCTCCGCCTCGTCCTCCTATTCCGAGATCGTCGGCCACAATTCGGCTACGCGCAGGAGTGACCCTGGGTAAGAGTGACCTTTGGTGCGCGGCTTGTTGGGGGCCGCGGGGAGACCACACCTGGGCGCGCAAGCCGCTGCTGCCGCTTCGTGTTCAGCCATCTGGGGGCCCATCTGTGCCCGCACCAAAGGCCACTCCGGCGGAAGGTCGCACTTATTACGTCTGGTCGAGCAATCCATTCAGCGTCGGCCCCCGAACCGCCCCCGGGATCCGCCCTGGCTGGCCCTGGCCGAGCTCAGGCGCCTCGGACGATGTACCTCCTCCTCCTCTTCCTCCTCCTCCTCCTCCTCCTCCTCCTCCTCCTCCTCCTCCTCCTCCTCCTCCTCCTCCTCCTCCTCCTCCGCCTGGTCCTCCTCCGCCTCGTCCTCCTCTTCCGAGCTCGCCGGCCGCAATCCGCTCCGCGCCGGCCCCCGCACCGCCCCCGGGAGCCGCCCTGGCCGGCTCTTCCCCCCCCCGTCGATCCCGGCGTCGCGGTCGCAGAACGGGGGCCGGCGGCGGGCCTCCGGGCGGCCGAGCACTGCCGCCAGAGGCCTCCCCAGAGGCCGAGCACCGCGGGCCACTCACCGAGCACCCCTCCGTGAAGGGGCCCTGGGGCACACCAACAAACACTTTTTGGATCCGCGGCCCGCAAGGAAAAGTCCAGAGGGCGGAGTGGCCGAGGCTGGGGCACAGCGCAAGATACTTAGCGCGAGAACGCGCGGATGCACATGCAAAACAAATCGGGCACACCAGTAAACACACACACACACACAAAGAACCAGATGCCCCATGTTGTCCCATCTGTTCTCGGCTTTTGCCTGCCCCCCCCTCCCCATAGTTTCGCATCTTTTCTATGGGGAATCGACGATCCACCGTGCCCGTGTGTCTCTCTCCCTCCTGACTCCGGGCTTGCCCTGGGGAACGCGCTCCGAGACCGGCACTTCCACGGCGGATCCGCGCGCGTGGCCGCCACGCGTGGCTCCGCCCCGAAGCGCGGGCCTCCCTCCCCGAGCGTGCTCGCCGCCACGCCGGAGGGAGGCCCGAGAATTCACGGGCGAAGAACGGTATAAAGGAAACTTTTTCGCCGTCGGGGACACCTGCCCCTGGGCGGCTGGAAAGTTTATACCCCTTACGGTGGCACCGTAGGGGTAGAAGCTTTCCAGCCGCCCAGGGGCAGGTGTCCCCGACGGCGAAAAAGTTTATATTCTATACCGTTCTTCGCTCGCTGAAAGAAGGGCGCAAAGAAAAGTATCTCGATCCTCGAGCCTCTCCCCCCTCACTGCTGCGCCCCTCCTCCGCCACGCCGCCATCGCATGGGGACTGCCTCCGGACCTCCTGGAAGCCCAGGGGCCGCCACGGGGCGGCACGGGCCGCTCCGTACGTCGATGCTCCGTCACAACTTCCTCCTCCCCCTTCGGACGCAGCGGAGGCGCCGCCGGGGCTGCCTCTTTTTTCCGCAGGAGTGCACGCAGGCAGGGAGAAACCCGCATGCGCCCCAGAGCGAACGTTTCTGTTTTGCCTCTCTTCCGCCCTTCGGAGGGCGGCTCGCTTTCAACATGTGGCTCTCGCTTTGGCGCCGCGCACACTCGGTTCGAGTTTTTGCAAGGGCTTCACGGATTGAGGGCGGGTCGTTTTCAAAATGGGGTTCTCGCCTTAGCGCCGCGCACACTCGCCTTAAACATGTGCAAAAGCTTCACGGATTGAGGGCGGACCGTTTCCAAACTGTGGCGCTCGCCCTAGCGCCACGCACATTCGTTTAAACAAGTGCAAGAGGTTCACGGATTGAGGGCGGTTCATTTTGGAAATGTGGCTCTCGCCTCAGCGCCGCGCACATTCGTCTTAGACAGTTGCAAGAGCTTCCCGGATTGAGGGCGGGTCGTTTTCAAAATGTGGCTCTCGCCCTAGCGCCGCACGCATTCGGTTTAGAATCCGCAAGAGTTTCACGGGTTCCCATGATAAACGCGCCAGACGTGGTGTTTTGGCAGGAGTCCGGATTTTGCGTGCGCAACAGTCATGTTGATTCGCTGTGTTGAAGCCCAAATAATGGTGGGACAATTCTGGATCGTCAAGACGCAGCAGTCAGGTTGGTACGAGGCGCTGAAATCCCGAGAACAATGTTCTGGCACGCTTCAAGGATCAAACTGTTGTCGCACAACGTCCCCTCAATGGAAACGAACTGTTGAATGGGCCTATGAAGAGGGAGCTTGGAGGGAGGGTGAGTTCCAACACCGTTGATGACTCGTGGGTCTCCACTGGTCCTCCTCCTCCCCCTCCGCCTCCTCCTCCTCCTCCTCCTCCTCCTCCTCCTCCTCCTCCTCCTCCTCCTCCTCCTCCTCCTCCTCCCCCTCCGCCTCCGCCTCCTCCTCCCCACATCCTCCTCCTCTTCCTCCGTCTCTTTCTCCTCCTCAATGTCCTCCTCATCCTCCGCCTCCTCCTCCTCATCCTTCTCTTCCTCCTCCTCCTCCCCTCCTCCTCCTCCTCCTCCTCCTCCTCCTCCTCCTCCTCCTCCTCCTCTCCTCCTCCTCCTCCTCCTCCTCCTCCTCCTCCTCCTCCTCCCCTCCTCCCCCTTTCCCTCCTCGTCCTCCTCCTCCTCCTCATCCTCCTCCTCCTCCTCCTCCTCCTCCTCCCCCTCCTGTTCCTCCTCGTCCTCCTCCTTCTCATTCCTCTCCTCCTTCTCCTCCTCTTCCTCCTCCTCTTCCTCCTCCTCATCCTCCTCCTCCTCGTCCTCCTCCCCCTCCTGATCCTCTTGCTCCTCCTCCAACTCCCCCTCCGCCTCCTCCCTCTCCTCCTCCTCATCTTCCTCCTCCGCCTCCTCCTCCTTCTCTTCCTCCTTCTCATCCGTCTCATCCTCTTCATCCTCCTCCTCATCCTCCTCTGTCTCTCCTCCTCCTCCTCTTCCTCATCATCCTCCCTCTCCTCCTCTTCCTCCGCATCCTCCTCTTCCTCCCTTTCCTCCCATCCTCCGCATCCGCCTCATCCTCCTCCTTCTCCTCCGATTATTCCTCCTCGTCGTCCTCCTCCTCCTCCTCCTCCTCCTCATACTCCTCCTCTTGCTCCTCCTCCTCCTCCTCCTCATCCTCCTCCTTCTCATCCGCCTCCTCCTCCTCGTCCTCCTCCTCCTTGTCCTCTTCCTCCTCCTCCACATCCTCCTCGTCCTCATCCTCCTCCTCGTCTCCCTCGTATGCCTCATAGTCCTTCTCTTTCTCATCCTCATCCCCCTCTTCCTCCTCCTCCTCCTCCTCCTCCTCCTCCTCTTCCTCCTCCGCCTCCTCCTCCGCCGCATCATCCTCATCAGCATCATCATCAGCATCAGCATCATCATCATCATCATCATCATCCGCATCATCAGCATCAACAACAACAACATCATCATTATCATCATCATCAACCTCATCATCATCAGCAGCAGAATCATCATCATCATCAGCATCATCAGCATCATCAGCATCGTCATCATCAGCATCATCATCAGCATCAACAGCATCATCATCAGCATCATCATCATCAGCATCAGCATCATCAGCAGCAATCGCAGCAGTATCATCACCAGCATCACCATCATCCTCATCAGCATCAACAGCGTCATCATCAGCATCATCATCATCATCATCATCAGCAGCATATTAATCATCGCCATCAAAAGCATCATCAACAGCATCAACATCAGCAGCATCAGCATCATCATCAGCAGCATCAACATCAACAACCTCAGTATCGTCATCATCAGCATCGTTAGCATCCTCAACAACAGCAACATCATCGTCACCATCATCATCATCAGCATCAGCATCATCATCAGCAGCAGCATCATTAGCAGCATCTTCAGCAGCAGCAGCAGCATCAGCATCCCCAGCATCGTCATCACGATCAGCATCATCAGCATCATCAGCAGCATCATCAACATCAGCATCATCAGCATCATCATCAGCAGCATCAGCATCAGCGACATCAGCATCGTCATCATCATCAGCAGTTGCAACAGCAGCAACATCGTCACCATCACCATCAGATTTGTCATCCTCCGCATCCGCCTCCTCCTCCTCCTGCTCCGCCTCATCATCCTCCTCATCCTCCTCCGCATCCTTCTCCTCCCACCCTCCTCCTCCTCCTCCTCGTTCTCATCCTCCTCCTCGTCCTCCTCCTGCTCCTCCGCCTCCTCCTCCTCCTCGTCCTACTCCGCCTCCTCCTCCTCCTCTTCCTCCTCCGCCTCCTCCTCCTCCTCTGCATCACCTCCTCCTCATCCTCATCCTCTTCCTCCTCCTCCTCCTCATCATCATGCTCCTCCTCATCCTCCGCCTCCTCATCATTCTCGTCCTCCTCCCCTTCCTCCTCCTCGTCCTCTTCCTCCTCCTCCGCCTCTGCCTCCTCCTCCTCCTCAATTTCATCCCCGTCCCCCGCCTCTGTTCCCTCCGCCTCCTCCGCCTCCTCCTCCTCGTCCTCCTCCTCCTCTTCCTCCCCGTCCTCCTCCTCCGCCTCGTCATCATCCGCCACCTCCTCCTCATCCACCTCCTCATCCTCGTCCTCTCCCTCGTACTCCTCCTAATCCTCCCACTCATCATCCTCCTCTTCCTCCGCATCTTCCTCCTCCTCATCCTCCGCCTCGTCATCCGCCGCCTCATCCTCCTCCTCATCTTCCTATTCTTCCTCCTCCTCCTCCTCCTCCTCCGCTTCCTCCTCCTCTTTATTCTCCTCCTCGTCGTCCTCCTCCGTCCCATATTCCTCATCCTCCTCCTCCGCCTCCTCCTCCTCCTCATCACCCCACTCCTCTGCCGCCTCCTCCTCCTCCTT